GGTTTCTTTGTTCCCTGCATCCCCAGCTCCAGCAAGCAGGCAGGGGGAGACCCTTTCCCCATCATGCCCAAGCTCTTCTCCCCAGGACCCCCAGTAAGGCCGTTTCAGAGCAGGGGCTTGAGCCTAATTTCATAGAATCATAGAATAGTTAGGGTTGGAAAGGACCTTAAGATCATCAAGTTCCAACCCCCCTGCCATGGGCAGGGACACCTTGCTCTAAACCATATCACCCAAGGCCTCGTCCAACCTGGCCTTGAACACTGCCAGGGATGCAGCATTCACAGCCTCCCTGGGCAGCCTATTCCAGTGCCTCACCACCCTTACAGTAAAGAACTTATTCCTTATATCCAATCTAAACTTCCCCTTTTTAAGTTTTAACCCATTGCCCCTTGTCCTATCACTACAGTCCCTAATGAAGAGTCCCTCCCCAGCATCCCTATAGGCCCCTTCTCTTCTCCAGGCTGAACAGCCCCAACTTTCTTACCCTATCTTCATATGGGAGGTGCTCCAGTCCCCTGATAATCCTCGTGGCCTCCTCTGGACTTGTTCCAACAGATCCATGTCCTTTTTATGTTGAGGACACCAGAACTGCACACAATACTCCAAGTGAGGTCTCACAAGAGTAGAGGGGCAGGATCACCTCCTTTGACCTGCTGGTCACTCTCCTTTTGATCCAGCCCAGGATATGGTTGGCTTTCTGGGCTGCAAGCGCACACTGAAGCCGGCTCACGTTCATTTTCTCATCAACCAGCACCCCCAAGTCCTTCTCCGCAGGGCTGCTCTGAATCTCTTCTCTGCCCAGCCTGTAGCTGTGTCTGGGATTGCTCCGACCCAGGTGTAGGACCTTGCACTTGGCATGGTTAAACTTCATGAGGTTGGCATCAGCCCACCTCACAAGCGTGTCAAGGTCCCTCTGGATGGCATTCCTTCCCTCCAGCGTATCAACCGAACCACACAGCTTGGTGTCATCGGCAAACTTGCTGAGGGCGCACTCAATCCCACTGTCCATGTCAGCGATGAAGATGTTGAACAAGACCAGAACAATTTACGATATAAGGGGAGAGTTGGAATAGCCCGAGGGCTTGGCTCTGCCAGGAGAGTATCTTGGCTGCCTTGACAGGCCCTTGTGTGCACCTGAGACTAAGAAAATAGGGGTGAAAGTTGCAAAATTTAGTATATTTCCTAATTTCATAGGTTTGCCCTTCTTCTGAAATGGTCTACTCGCAGTTTTGTGGCCCCCAGTTCTTGCACTTAGTAAAGCACCCTTTAATATCCATGGGTATGTGTGTATATTTAAAAATACATAACTATATATTATATGTATGATATATTTTCTATGTTATATAAATATATATTTACATATTTATCTCTAATATAAACATGCATAGATAATCCAATTAATTACAGTTGTCTATTTGTACTATATACACATAATCTCAGGAGATGCATCTGGGTGTCCAGCAAAGCAAACATTTTACACACATGGATCCTCAAGGTTTTTTTTTTGTGTGTGTGTGTATATTTTTGTATAAACGTATATATTTATATTTATCATATAAATATGTATTACTGTGTATATATTACTATATATAATTCTATATAGTCCAATATATTTTGTATATTTTTGTATATTCTTTAAATATATGTATAATATAAATGTGTATATATAAATACATATTTAATATCTATACCTGTGATGTACATAGAATACATGTAATTATATATAGCAATGTATTAGTATATTAATATATGAATATATATTTAGGGTTTGGTTAGTTTGGGGTCTTTTACATCAGGTTTTTGGCAGGAAGGGGCAGTGAGTGGCTGTGAATCCACCTCCCGGCCCCCTTGGCTGAGGCGCATGGGGCACTCCCTGCCTGAGCTCCACCACCTCCTGCCTGTCCAGTGAGGCAAACACCTCCTGACAGATTCCCAGGGTGCCCTCGGACTCGTTTCCTGTGGCCAGCACCCATTCACAGTGTGAGAATACCGTATGTAAACCCATAAGCAAGAAGAGGCTCATCAGCAAGCACCATTGGTCCCACTCCAGTTGCTCCTTCAGACCGCCTCTGCTGGCTGGGGAGCAGAGAGTTAAAACACAAGCCTGGGAGGATGTGAAGCATTGTATTACAAATATAATAGCCCAAACAGTTCACAGCTTTAAAATCACATCATTATAAAACACACTTCTTGGGCTCCTGCAATACCCCAGGACTCCAACACAGGGTGCTGGGACCTGTGACTACATCCTTCCATAATCTTTCCCAAGTGGTTAAAAAGGCACAAAAAGCCATTATCTATGGCCAGCAGTGTAAGGCTTCTCCAGCAGGGAAGCAGGTGGAGCTGAGCAAGGGCTGTGTGAGCATGGTATGGATGGGGATACCATATGGATGGAGATACCCATATGGATGGGGATACCTGTGAGCAGGGCTGAGCATCTTGGGAAAACTGTTGAGGCGCTTTAGCTGATCATTGTGGGGGCTTTTCCTTTTCATTTTCTATTAAAAATAAAATAATGTTTTAAATTTAAGTTCTTCATCTTTCTCTCTCTCTTTCTCATACATGTTTAAAGCCAGGACACACAGCACACCTTTGTGGTAACAGATGAAAGCTACTGGATCAGAAACAAGCCTGGCTGCACCCAAAAATCTCCTGTTAGTATTGGCAGGGTCTTTCTGGAGGTTTTGGGCATTGACACTCAGGGCACTCTGGGACAGCATTTTTGTGAAGCAGCAAACCAGCACACAACACAGGCAGCAAGGGCAGGGTCTCCTGGTTTTGAAGGGATTTAGTGGCAATGGGAATGGCTGGAGCTGCTCAGGAGTCATAAGGTAATGGGGGTTATTTTGTCCACAAATAGACTGGAATAATTCAGCGTCTATTTTTACACCCTTCTTGCAGTAATTCAGCATCACCTTGTGCCTTATGGCACGTTGGCATGCAAACAGCATGCACGTAACTCCTGATGCAAAGCTTGTGAGGGAGCTTTGTTTGGAATAATGAAGCCCTTTCTGTCTGGAGATGTTGGTGTGGCAGAGGAGAAGGCAGGGTTTCTATATGTCCTGTCCCATGAGCTGCTTCTCCACACACTGGAAGACTTTCTTCTGACTTTTCATAGGAAACAAGGACAAGCCTGTATGGCAAATGACAGATGTGTCTGGTCCTCACCACCACCCATTCATCACCGCGTCACATTTGCCCCAGGTCTATTCCCACCACTGTAATTAAGGGCAAATCAGGTGTCAGCTCACCCCATTGGACACGGCCGTATTAATTCCTGGCATGGTGCTCTTCCTTTCAGGGCTGAAAGCCAAGCACTGGGGGGATGGGAGGAAAACAGCTTGTTACAGCCATGGCAGGGCGAGAGCCTTCCCTGTTTTTCCCTGTGTGCTCAAGGCTGGACCCAGGACCTAGCTCAGACAAGGTGGCTGTGGTTGTACATCTGTGTGCCCGCTTACAGATCCCAGGTGGAAAATGCCTCACAGGGGGTCCCACCAATGATCCCTAGCTTCCCCACTGAGGGTGTCTGGGGATGCTAACATCAAAACATCCTGCTTTGGGGTTGCAGGTGAAGCCACGAGGTGAGGAGGCTCTGTTGAAGAGGCACCAGGACTGGGCTGTTGGTATTTCCATGCTGGTGAGACAGATGCAACAGGGAAGCAAAACAGAGATGTCACAATCCCTTCAAGTATCAGGATGGGGAGGAGCAGAGGAGGCAGCAACCTCCTTGCCCTGAGTCCACACTTGATGGCTATAGCTTCTTCCTCCATCCCAGCAGACCCGCTCCAGGGGTGCAGGAGCAAGAAGCACAAACCTCAGCGCTCATCCAGGATGGGAAATTACAGAGCTGCGCTACCAACTGGCTTCCCACCAAATGTCCCATCCAGAGAGGTGACCTTTTTTTTAACAAATCAGCACATTTTTAGTATTTATAATTTTTTTGCATGGTTACCCAAACACCAAGTTTCTGAAGGAAAATGAAGCCATGTTCACAAGCCCATGTGCAGCAGCATGATGGCGTTTGTCCCATTGAGGGAATGGTGCTCTTCAGCCAACTCCTAGTCCTGCAATGCTGCAAAACCAACCAGAGGACCAACCCCAGTGTGTCCAAGCAGCCCTTTTTCCCCTGAAATGCATAAAATAAGTCAATTTGCATTTTATTTCTTTATTTCTTGGCTGTGCCAAGCAGTACCTTACTGACAGATCACTCCTTCCCTGGCATGTGCACGATTATATACACCACTACTGGGGTAAAGAACCGAGTATCACCCATTCTCAAGCATATAACAAATTCTGCAGGCCCCCTGATCTTTTCTGGGCCCCTGTGATTTGACTAGAGGAAGCATATCCCATGATGGTAGTGCTGTCAAGCACCCAGGGAATGGAGCAGCACAAAGGGCCAGTGGTGAGCTCTGGGTTTCCAGCCGTGCTATGTCCTCAGGTGCTGCCTTGGGACCCACTGGTTTGCTTTCTATATAGTGGGCTGCAGGCCGGAGCAACAGCATTGGGAAGATCCAACATGACCGAAGCTGCTGCATCCCAAAACTTAATTGGCAATGTGAGGCTTCCCAACAGCCCAATGCCTCTCCACAGCTGCTTCTCACAGACACAACACGTGGTGCAAATACCACCTTCGTGAGGTCACACTGCAGTAATTTCATGGAGGAGGAATGAGGCATCCCCATGGAAATTTGGCAGGCTTGTGCTGGAGCAAGAGCCAGGATGGCCTCAAACCTGGAGCCACGGTTCCGTGAGGATGTCCTGACCCTGGGAGAAATCTGCACAAGAGCATATAGTCCCTTTGAGCCCTCAATGTCGGTTCAGGTGCTTATGTTTAAGGAGATGTAGGAGGAAGGCAAGAAACGCCAGCTGCTAACCCATCTCAAGTAATGGGATTGTTATTGTTGACATTGCTTTTGTTTTGGTTTAATTTCAGGTCTTCTCGTTTTGGGCACATTCTCTGAAGATTAAGTCTGTAATAGAAATAACGTACTTATTGATGCAAACGATCATGTTTCTCATCTCTGTCATGTCTCTCATTTCTAGCTAAGTCATCCACTGCCAGGCAAGCTCCTTGGAGCCCCTGGGTCATGCTCACAAGGATTTTTGCTGTAGGACAGTGACTCCCTACAAACCCTGCTGTGCTCTTCTACCGCTTCCCCAGTGGAAATGAGTGGATTTCGTCCTTCGAGTTCTTGCCTGCTCCACACTGGACTCCCCTGCTCTGTCTGTGCTGAAACAATTCTTTTTCACAGACTCTTCCTTAAATGAGTGCTTAGTAAATCCTTTTAATTAAGGCCATGTTTGCTTCCCTTCCTTAGTTACAGAGGGACAAAAGACTGGAGCCCCTGCTTAAATGTTTTCTAAACAGTACTAAATAGTCATGGAGAAGACAGAAGAAATGTCAGAAAACCATTTCTTTCCAGTGCCCACACCACCACATATTGTTACCATGTCATTTTGGTGGCAAAGCCAGAGTCTGAGTTGTATTTCGATGACATATCAGAGCTGCTCAGGCTTTGCTGGTGCCAGCACAAATCATCTTGGAACACCATCAGCCACCATCCTTTCCACCCAAGCTTGCGGTCAAGGGGGTTGAAATTTGCCCACAGTATTGTTCTTTAAATGTTGGATGATAACTCTGTTGGACAATAAATCTGTTGATGATAAATCATGATTACTGTGGTTTAGCTGTTTCCAGGGGAGATGGTGACCAAAACACAGCCCATTCCTTCAACCCTGGAGGCAATCATGGCCTGTCCTGGGGGGCAGGTGGTGGCTGTAGGACACAGCACCAGCAGAGAAAGGGCTGCAGGGGGGCCAGCAAGCAAACTCAAACTATAGAGGGAGTCTCTTCTTTCAAGCAAAGCCTATAGGTCTCCATCAAAAATCATAGAATCATGAAGTCATAGGACAGAATAATTTAGGGGCATATAGGGATGCTGGGGAGGGACTCTTCATTAGGGACTGTAGTGATAGGACAAGGGGTAACGGGTTCAAACTTAAACAGGGGAAGTTTAGATTGGATATAAGGAAGAAGTTCTTTACTGTTAGGGTGGTGAGGCACTGGAATGGGTTGCCCAGGGAAGTTGTGAATGCTCCATCCCTGGTGGTGTTCAAGGCCAGGTTGGACAGAGCCTTGGGTGAGATGGTTTAGTGTGAGGTGTCCCTGCCCATGGCAGGGGGGTTGGAACTTGATGATCTTAAGGTCCTTTCCAACCCTAACTATTCTATGATTCTATGGAGGATGAAACATCACAGATATAAAGCCAGAACTTTTTGTCCTGGGTACATTTTCATGGCGGGGGTTCCTAAAATCTTCAATCCTGATCAAGTTGTTGCTGGGGTTGGCACACAACAAGCCCAGCTTCCTTGCTCCAAAAAGCCCCTTGTAGAGGGAAGCACAATGAGTGATTCCTAAGTGTCATCGTGCAGCGCCTCAGAAATACAGGGCAGGGGACAAAGCAGGTCTCTGAATGAGTGACTCCTGGATAAAATGGGGCTAGTTAAGAGTGTGAATGAACAACCTCTGCCGGGCATTAGAGAGGCCAGGCAGCCTGAAGGACAGGATTTCAAGCTGCCTTGGGCTATGCTTATTACTGGGAGCATATAATGGGATGTGCTCCAGCTGTTGCCTCATCAACAGCTGCTGGAAGCCAACAGCATTTCCTATTCTGCAATTGGGGTTTGATCATACAAAGCCAGGCTTCCCTCCTCAACCACATCTGATCTCTCCAAGAGCACTTCCCAGGTTTTTTTTTCCCTAGTTTCCCTAAGGTACAGGGTGAAACACGAGCAAGTTTAATCTTCTACTACATGACTTCACCAGAGAAGTCCAGTAACAGCCAGAAGTGTTTTACAAGCTTATCAAGGGCAATAAATGTTCTCTGTTCAAGTATGAGGCTTTTACAGGAGTTTGACTATACCAGTGGAAGACCAGCTCTACAACACAGGCAGTTTCTCTCTCCTAAGCCTCCCGGGTTTATCTGTAACTATGGGAAATGACCTTATGTGCCACTAAGAACAGGCTGTGGAGAGACTGCAATGGGACCGCTGCATCACAGGGTAGCAAGGAACAGACAGTAGCAAGGGGCTGCCACTGAATGCAAATTGCACAGAGGAGCCAAATCCTGCAGCTTTCAGTTAAAAAAGCTTGGAAACCAATTCGTTAGGAAGGGCAAACCACAGGGCTTGTGGGGCTGCCAGCTGGAAGCCTCAAATAAGGAAAGCAACAAGTTGATTTACTGTGATGGTGAATGCTCTGAGCCACATCTCTGTGTTAACAGTGAAGGAACAGTGCTGTTGTCTTTGTCAGTGGCATAGATTTGACTGGTGCTGGGCCAGGCAGTAGCTGAAAGTGCTCTATATGGACTCTATGCATGTATGACCAAGCTAGCCTGACCTTTGGCATCTCTCGCATTGCCACACTGGGCTCTAAGGCAGGCCTTGTCATTCTGACTGTTTGAGAAGTTTGGGACTGAAAACAAGAATTAGAAAATAAAACAATTTAAGGGGAAATAGGCAGAAAAAAAAAATCAAGACCAGAAGGGCACATGGCCATGCAAGACATCTAACTGTCAGGTCCTGCTTCCTCAGGGGATGTGCTGGTTTTGCTTGATGCTATTCCCTCTGGACCTGGATCTCCAGCCATTGCTCCACAACCCTCCAGCTCCTCGGCTGGTGGCACCTCTGCCCAGCCCAGTGCAGGTGCCAGCTTGTCCTTGCCCTCTGTCCCAATGGCACTGCAAAGGTTGTTCTGCTCCAGCAGCTCCATGGCATGGCCAAACCCTGCCTCCGGCTGCAGAGCCACCACCTTGCCTGGTCACGGCCACTGGCTCCCTGCTCCAGGTGGATTGTCCTTTGCCAGCTCCAACCATATGGAACGCAGTGGGGTGCTCTGGTCCCCCCAGATGCAAGGATCCGCATGTCAGAGCTCATCACCTGAGGGAGAGTGGTCCCAGAAGCTGGATGGGCAAAGCAAGAGCCTCTTAAAGCAGCCTGCAGGGCTTCTGGAGCACTATCCCATGCTCCAGTTTGGCTGGGGTCCCTCTTTTAGGGTTCTCCTGACACTTTATTGGCAGTGTTCAAGGCCAGTGGGATGGACAGGGGCTTGGAGCAACCTGGTCTAATGGAAGGGGTCCCTGCCTGTGGCAGGGGAGTTGGAACTGGATGATCTTTAAGGTCCCTTCCAACCCAAACCATTCTGTGATTTTATGATTCTATGATTCACCCATGAGGACTGCCATTATTACAGCAAGCGTATTATTTATGAGAAGTGAGAGCATGCAGCACCTACAAGCAGCTTGTAACCCTGTGCAGTCCCACGTGGATGTTCTACATGGTGCTGCATGACCAACATTGCCATGTCCGCACTGCAAGGCTGAGCACAGCAATGTCTTTGATGCAACAAACCGCTTTTTACCTGCTTATCATAGGGCTCAGCAGCAGAGGACCTTGCAATGGGCATTAAAATGCTACATACCCAAGCGACCAACACCACAGGGACTGTGCTGTACTTTATCAGCTTCTAGGGTCTCTCCCAATATCATCATCCCTATGTGTTGGTTGCAGCCCTGTGGGACAGCAGATTTCACCCAAGTGGCTGGGAGGTGGGGACACAAAGCATCACACGGCCGGGAACACCACAGCTTGTCAGGAAATAAGCACAGGACCTGTTTTCCTGGAGACAGGAGTTTGATGAGATCAGCTCATGAATTCAGCTGAAGGCACGGGGTAACTTTCACCTTTTGTAGATGCCCAGAAGATCGGAAGCTCCTCTAAACTTTAATGAGATACTTCTGTAAAACCATGAGTAGAAGCCGTTGAAAAGCAAATTACAGCCATTTATGGGACTCCAGAAACTCCAGTAGTTATTCACTCGAGAGCTGGCACAGCAGCCTTCCCTTCATGGCATTGTCAAGAACTTCTTCCTTTCTTTTGTCAGGTTTTAATTCAATTTGCCCAGGATGGGCATAATTTCCTTCCCACTTCTCCAAGGACCAGCCTGGAGCTGGATTCAGCTGGGCAGGGAGCCTGGATCACCAACTGGGTACTGATTATGGGAAAACCACGATCCTCAGCAAACCAAGGTCTCACCTGAAGCATCCCAAAGGGGGATGTAACAGGTGGCATCCAGAGATCATGGGCTCTTGGCAACTGGATCTTTTAAAGCTAATTTAGAGAGACTCCTGATCTGGTCAGAGGAGAGGCAGATGTGGCTTTTGGACAAATCAAATGGGTTTACAGTGCCGCTAATGAAACCTGGGGAGAGGGTGAATCTCTTCGCTGCTTGGCTCTCCTATAAAATAGTTTTTAGAAGGCACACCACCTCTCAGCCTTTCCCCAGGTAAGAGAGGAAATCTGGCATGTCACCTTCAGGCTTTGTCTACAGGGCTGAGTCAATACTGCAGCTAATTAGAGACTTCAAGCTGATTATGAGGACTGCAATAAGTGGAGTTAGAAAATCTCTAGGCCTGATAGTCCTTAATACAAAAGCCACTCTACGCTGTCTCCTGGCCTTAAAATACCCCCGGATGATGTAAAGTGCTCTTAGAGCAAATGGGATGAGTCTGTCTGCATTTGGAGAGAGCAGCACACATCACAGACCACCAGCATCCGAGGCTGATGGGACTCTCAAAGGCCCCATCTCCCCCCAGGTGAGATGAAAGCATCTTTCTGGTCACAGAGAGTCAGGTCTTTCACAACAGATACAAATTAAAAACATATATTCAGGCAACTACCTAAAGAGCTGACTGGTATTGATCCAATAAAAGCAGAATAAAAACTTGCCAAGTCCATTTGTGGGTACCTCTAGGGGTAGCATAAGACTTTAACAAGTCAGTAAAACTCCTCTCTGGGTCGATTCTGCCAGGACTTCCATGGCTGGATGCTCCCTAAACTTTATGTGCATTTTAAACTCTTTATAAGCCTGAAGAGCTCAACTTTTCTGTATTAATGATACAGAAAAAGCAAAAGAGCTACCTTTGTTGTTTCAAAATAACTCAAAGCCATAGATATCAGCCCATTCTCTATAGAACAACTTTTGAACCAATAGCACCAGCGATGCACAATGTTCTTGTAGCCTGGAGGTGACCATTTGGGAAAAAGGCACTTGCATGAAAGAGGAATCAAACCTTCCCCAACCCAGAGAGGACTCTGCCAGCCCAGCAGCCTGACAGCTGCTCCATATCCATCCATAGGGTCCTCCCAGAAGCTGCCAGTGATGCATCCCAGGGTGTAAGACCACGCACAGGGCAGTAACCTTTAGATAGAAAGGAAGTTGCAAGGGGAAGCCTTATCTCTGACCTAAGCACAGCTCCAAAAATATGACAATAGTCATGAGACCCACGATCCTGGTCACCCGGTGTAAGGTTACTGCCTCGGTGACATTTGGATTACAACATCATCCATCACGGCTTCGAGTCAGCAGATATGTGCAGACAGTGGGTTAGGTTTCCCCATGAGTAAAATAATGCAGGAAAGGCTGGTGAGTATGGTCCATCAGACCCAGCAGCTCCCCGAGCCTGTGGGGCAGGGGGAGAGGGAGGTAGCTCATAGAATCATAGAATAGTTAGGGTTGGAAAGGACCTTAAGATCATCAAGTTCCAACCCCCCTGCCATGGGCAGGGACACCTCGCTCTAAACCATATTACCCAAGGCCTCATCCAACCTGGCCTTAACACCACCAGGGATGGAGCATTCGCAACTTCCCTGGGCAACCCATTCCAGTGCCTCACCACCCTTACAGGAAAGAACTTCCTCCTTATATCCAATCTAAACTTCCCCTGTTTAAGTTTTAACCCGTTACCCCTTGTCCTGTCACTACAGTCCCTAATGAAGAGTCCCTCCCCAGCATCCCTATAGGCCCCCTTCAGATACTGGAAGGCTGCTATGAGGTCTTCACGCAGCCTTCTCTTCTCCAGGCTGAAGAGCCCCAACTTTCTCAGCCTGTCTTCATGGGTCTGAAGTCACCGGAGCAACACCTCTATTCACTGTAGACTCTGCAAGGTCCTGGGTACCGGCACTGGGGAGTTTAGGCAAAGAAGCCAAACTACTACAGGTTCACTCCTACTCACTTCCCAGGGCAGATCAGCCCTCTCATGTGCAGAGGCAGTGCTGCTGCTCAAACGTAATCTCTGATATGTGAAAGAACACGAAAATCCAGCCAAACCAGTATGCCCAGCTGGCGGTATCGGTATCGGGGAGAGCAGCTCGACCCGGGCTGGTGGAAACTGCGACTCCATCTCCTTCAGCCCAGGAATCCTGCCCTGCCCTAGCAGCAGTGCTTCGGGCAATGGGGAGTGCAGAAAACCTCTGTGGTCACCTTTGATCATCAGCAGAGTAGAGATGTTAGGAAGGACCTTTCTCCTGCAATGGGATGTTTTGCTGTGGGATAACCCAGTGGCAGCCCCACACCTAGTGTGTTAGAGGAGGGGGTGGGATCAGCATGGATTGCTCCATCAATGGAGTTAGAGTTTGGGTTGCTGCCATGGCTCTTTGAGGAGAAATTAGGGTTAAGTAGCATGAAGAACTGAGAAGCAGCCTCTTTTTGCATGAGGAAAAGATGCTTGTGTATAAATAAATACGCATATGTATGCATACAAGTATTTTCTGATATAAAGAAAAACACGTTTGCATGGCTTGCAATCTCATATTAAAACAAGCAAAAAGATGTAAGGATTTCTTCATGTTCTGAAACCTTCCTGCTGTCCTTACCTGTCTAAATGTCTGATCTGGAGGAGGTGCTGTGCCGGGATACAGGGAGGCACAGTGGGACAAAGGACTGGCACAGCTGGAGCTTGAAACACTTTTGGATCACATCCTGATCATGGCTGATATAAAAGAAGCACATGAACAGACCTTCCTGCCATCATTTCAGTGACATGCCGCTTCCTACTTTCTCTGTTCTGTCACTTTTCCTTCTAGGACTTCTCTCTGCAGACATTTCCCACTCTTAACCTGCTTTTCCCCCAGCCACTGTCTTCTGCCGTGATATTTTTTCCTTCTCTTTCCTTCTCTGTTTCCCCCAGGCAGCTCCATCCTTTTCAGCTGCAGTGACTCTTTCCTCTCTGTTTCCTCTGGACCATAAAGAGGAGAGTCCTGAACCCATCACTTGTCCCTGCTGCAAGAGGAGCACTCAGGAGCATGAGCAGGGCGCACTTCCAGACGTGCTGTAGCTTGCTGTGAAGTCTGTCCCTGGCAAGCTGGACCCCAGCTCAGGAGATCTGCTCCTCTGTGAGCAGCAGCGTGCTTGGGTTTCGACGCCAGCCCTATTGCATCAGTGTGTGGGCTGTGGTCTCCGTGCTTGCCACAGGTACAGTCCTCTGGGATGCACAGTGGTTTGGGGAAGAGCAGAAAAGCCTCCCCCGTTGTACTTGTGCTGATGGATTACACCGCACAGAGGACAGAAGCTACACCAGTCTCTGCGGTGTGCAAGAGACTGCTGGTGCAAGGTCAGATAAATACCAGAGCTGCAAAGTTCCCATCCAAATTGAGATCCATGCTTTTCCCACACGTGGGGTGCTCAGAGCATGATCTGGGGTTTCTCCCAAAATAAGGACCTACCTGCTTGTTTCTGATCCAGCTGTTCCAGAGCTCGGGAAGTCTTAAATGGTTTGGAGCCTCTGCACCAAACCAGAACCAGAGACAGCTAGCAGTGTGTGGGGTAGCAACCAGAAAACATGCAAACAGTGTTTAAGCTGTCAGGGCTGTATCTGCCACTGTTGTAAATCCTGCAGTTCTGCTATGGTTTTGCCAGCAGCACAGGGTGTGGATCACCCATGATTTCATCACAGAGCATTCCTAGTCCATGGCTTGGCTGGTGACCTGGGCAGCTTGGATGTGGTTGAGGGTAAGAGAGTTTAAGAGTGTGGGTACAACCTGCTCTTTGCCAACTGGCCCCTTATACCAAAAAACCCCTCAAATGCATGTTCCCAGCTTGGACAGAGTGACTGTGAAGCTGTGCCTAACAAAAGCCTTAAGAAAAAGAGCCAGAAATATTCCAGCAGCTTCACGTTTCCCAAGGGGACGAGATGTAGGCTGCCAGATCCCACACCAACAAAACGTGTTTGCAGGAAGAAACTCAGATTTATTGCAGATAGAATCTGGGTCCAGAATCCATCAGCCAAGTCTGGACCCAAAATACCAGGACTAAAAGGTCCAAAACCTCTACCCTGGACTCCCAGCCTGGTTTTACACTAGCATGTACTAACATACACAGCATAGATGGCCAGGGAGGCCCAAGCACCTTCCCTAGCACAAGGTCTTGACCACCTCTGTGGGTAAATCATTAGCACAGCCCCAACAGTTTTGGCCAAGCCAGCCAGCCCTATCCCAAACCATTCCTTAGCACCTCTCCTAGCTCTATGATGGGCAAAGAGGTGACTAAGTGGGCACCTGGCTTGCAGAAGAGGTCTCTGGTGCCTTTGGGGGATGCACCTAAAGACAAAGACAGACCTGACCAGCCCAAAGAAGTGGTAAATGCTCCATCCCTGGCAGTGTTCAAGGCAAGGCTGGACAGAGCTTTGGGCAATGTGGTCTAGTGGAAGGTGTCCCTGCCCATGTCAGAGGAGGTGGAACTGGGTGATCTTAATGTCCCTTCAAACCCAAACCATTCTATGATTCTATGGTTCAGTAGAGAGAAATGTGCTTTAAAAATACTCACCTGCAAGTGCCAAGTGGAGCAGAAGCAAAGTGAGAAAAGAGGCAGTTTTCTCTCTGGCTCATTTGTACATTTGCATCCGCTCCCACAAGTGCACCAGCACCCAGCTGAGCTGCCCAAGAGGAGCCTGCATGGAGGAAAACAAGCAAAAACTGCCCTAATAAACCATGTCTATAACAGAGCTGCCACTGCGAACACACATAAATAATAGTAAACCAGCATGGAAAAAATGTCTGTGGTTGCTAAGCAAATTAATGTTCCAGCATAAACACCAAGTATAAATTAGCTCAGGGTGTGCACATGGGAAAGCAGCCTTTGCAGGGGAATGGGATGCTTAAGAGCTAGATGCTGGATGAGGCAGTCGTGCTTGGCAGGATGAGAAGTTAATGCCCCATTGTTAGAAAAGTGGGCTAGGTAGGAGTTTAGTGGTGCACTGCTCCCATTAAGTCTTTCCTGTATGTGCTTTGGGGGGAGCTCTGACTAGCTCAACTCCTCTGTGCCTTTTTCCAAGCATATAATAAGGTAATGGCTTGTAATTCCTCTTGCAAGGCTTCCCATGTCTTCCAGGTTGATCCAGCGCTCCCATTTTGCTCTCCTGGAGCAAGTCCTGGCCATGTCCCCTGTGGCGTTTTGAGGCAAAGCTGATCACACAACAAGATGGTTAAAAGGCACCAAAAATAGCAGGGGCTACTTGAAAAGGCAGTTCTGTGCCGGGAAGGCAGCAGACGGACCTTGGGAAGGGAGGGAACATCACATTACAATCCCTGCATTGATAGCAGTGCACGCTGAGTGTGCTTTTCATTGCTCACTGGAGAGAGCGGAGAGACAGGGGAGGGTTATTGAGCCGTTCCCCATCCTGGTCCCACCGGCTCCAGTGGTGTTGGCCTTCTTGTACCCCTTTCAGATGGGGAGGAGGAGCTGATTGTGCGCTTTATTTCCCTTTAAAACACATCTTTGTTGGACTCAGCAGCGTGCTAGGACTTCAGTGGAATATTTTCAGTGGCTGTGAGTTGTCCTTTGGTTAAATAATAAACACAGCAACAAAACACTGTTACCTCTTCCTAGTACAGGAGACAGAGCCTCTATTGTCATCAGTTGTTAAGTGCTATTCTTATCTGCAATCCCTGTCCTGTTTTATCCAGTTGCCTGTTCCCCAAGTGCTTTACTGGAAGCAGATGCTAGCTGTATGTCATTAATTCTTACTATATATTGTTCTTTTAATATTCAGCAGTTGTCAACTTTTTGTGAAGTCTTGCTACAGAGAAATGAATATTATATGGCCAGTGCTATTCACTTAAAGAGATTTCATTTCTTAGTTCTCCAAAAGAGGGTATAAGCAAGCAGCTTTACTCAGATGAGCAACTACTTGGACTGAACCTGTGTCCTATACAAGTAAATCCTTTATAATTTAGAATTCTGTCTGTGAACATTTGCCATCTAAGTGTTACATAGAATCATAGATTGTAGAATAGTTAGGGTTGGAAAGGACCTTAAGATCATCAAGTTCCAACCCCCCTGCCATGGGCAGGGACACCTCACACTAAACCATGTCCCCCAAGGCTCTGTCCAACCTGGCCTTGAACACTGCCAGGGATGGAGCATTCACAACTTCCCTGGGCAACCATTCCAGTGCCTCACCACCCTAACAGTAAAGAACTTCTTCCTTATATCCAGTCTAAACTTCCCCTGTTTAAGTTTGAACCCGTTACCCCTTGTCCTATCACTACATGGCATAATGCAAGGAAAAAAGCTGAACACCAAAAGGAATTCAAGTTTTAAAATGCTTTAAGAATTTTAAAACTCTTCATTGCCTCTTTGAATTGCATGTTTCCTACCAGTAATCCTACCTGGAATTTTTCCTGTTAAATACAATGCTTTTTCCAAGACTGGCTTGTAAATCAGGACTATAATGGGACCCACTGAGAGATTCACCATTTCCATGGGAAATTAGGAGGATAAGCATGTCCAGATTTAAAAGTACCCACAGAAAACTGCAAGGGGCACTGACCAAAATCTGCTCCACCATGAGGCACATCCAGCTTGTATTAAAGAACTGTGCTCTGCAACTGAGGAGCAGCAATTCCTGCAGAGGTAAATGAACCCGTCCATGGTGTCCTCAGCCCTGGCTCAACAACAGCACATGTGCTTGGCTATGCAAAGACAGAATTTGGCCTTTCCCTACCATCACATGAAAAATGACTTCAATGTGATAAACGAGGTGGTACAAAACCCAGCTGGAGCATGACTCGTGTTTAATTTTCCGGGTATAACTCAGCAAACTTCCTTCCACGAGGCTCCACGTGGCTTCTTTCATTAAACTGTACAGCATGTACCAAGCCCCCTGTCTTTAAGGTGACATTTCAAACCCCCAAAGAGGAGGGACAGTTGTCGGGGCTGTGATTAAAATAGAGCCTTGTTTGTTGGCAGGACTTTTACTCAGTTCCCGGGTGATGCAGCAGCAAGCCCTGCCACCTCTCCCAAAATAAGATATGCCTCAGATGGATGCGCACAGAACATCCCACTGGATGCTGTCAGCTCCCAGCCTACCCTTGTTTGCACCCATCCTAGTTGGGCTAGTTGGCCAGCTTTCCATCATCCAGGCATGAGGACATCCAGGGTGCATGCAGGAGTCTCAGGTGGGTTGGTAGAGTCATTCCACATGTGAGGAAGCAAACACAAAGATCTGGTAGCACCGACAGCAAAGCACAGTGGTTTTACAGAAGCACAAGAGCAATAATCTGCAGTCCTAAGGCTGCATTTGCTTGTGCTCATACAGTTCAATGCCTTTTGCAGGACCACAGCGATTTGTAAGAAGCCCCAGGAGCTGATGTCCCGTAGCATGTCCATCACTTGGCACAGCCCCACAGCCCGGGTAGTGAACTCAGCCCCAGATATAAATAGGGCTGAGCCAGTGTGGCTGAGCCCACATAAGCAGCTTTAATGCAACACCTGCTAATCACCGGCTCCTGGGTGAGACAGGCGCGCAAAGCTGCCCTGCCACAGTGGGTTTCCAGAGCTCACCCTGGAAGAGAAGCCATCCTCTGACGTTACTGTCTCAAATGAAGCAGAAAGGATAAGGAGGAGCAGCTGTGGCCATGTGTCAGGTTACGGTTAGGGTTAGACCTGGAAAGGTGCTCACGTGTTGCTAGGGGCAAGGCAGAACAGAGAGGAGCCTTGCAGCGGAAAATAAGACAATCAAATACTTCCATTTTTTTCACAATCTTCTTGAAAAAGCCCTATAAGAAACTCCAAGAGCTGGCAAAACAGCCTAAATCCCCTAAAAGCAACAAGCCAGGGGGGAGCCACTTGTGTCCCATGCCATGGGGTGTCTCATCCCTGGACAGTAAGCTTAAAACACAGAATTCATTGCCGCTCTTCTCCAGACATGCCTTTTCACTGAATGTCACTCTGACTTGGGTAGCCTGACAGGGGTGTGATACTTATTAGGACCCAGCCCTCATCAGCTTGTAGTTGCCTAAGTATCTCAGATCTCCTATCTAGTCACATATCCCAGCTGTTTCAACAGCTTCCTTGGGAAAGGCACAAGCTGTAAAAACACCCTCTTCCTCCTAGCAGTACATCCTCTACCTGTCATCCCCTCCTTCTCTACATCCTCCAGAGCCCTGCCCGGTGTTTTCAGCCAGGGTGCCAGCAGACAAGACCCGTGACTCAGTGGCACTTCTCCTCTGAAGGTGAGAGCTGACAAGGGCTGGGCGAATGCCAGTGCTGGAACTCAGACCCGGCTGATCCACCTTTCCCAGCTGGGCACGGATGACTTCATCTGCCCATCATCAGGCAGCCCTGCACAGTGAAAGGCTGGATGAAATATGTACGATGCAACTGAAATATTGCTTTAGAAATACATTAGCTGGTGAGGACGAGTAGGTTTTCTGCTGTTTGTAACCAGGAAAATCCTTGGTTTGTAGAGTCCAGCTTGACACCAAGAGAGGATATTGCAGGAAAAGAATAACCTGCTTTGTTAATGCTGGGTTTTGGTGACAACAGCTCCTAGGTTGACTCAGTTCACCTTATCAGAGAGACTTTGATAAGTGTAAGATTTCATTCTTGTTATCAGTGGGGCAGTGT